CAACCTAATTGACAAAGCTACAAAGAGCAAGGATGTTTTTTAATAAAAATATGCAAGTGGCACCAGAGCACTGGGGTCTACAAGTCCCCCCTGTTGAAGGACTCAGCTGGCCAGCTAGGCTTCACTACTCAGGAAGAGCTACTCACAAACAAGGCTGAAGTAGGGGACATACTAAGTGGCACCAGAGCACTGGGGTCTACAAGTCCCCCCCGTTGAAGGACTCAGCTGGCCAGCTAGGCTTCACTACTCAGGAAGAGCTACTCACAAACAAGGCTGAAGTAGGGGACATACCGATCAACACCCCCACCACCCCTACACGCGCTCTACCTTGGGCAGCTCTTACCCTCCGTGAGGTTGAAGAATCGGTCTTAGGAAAGGCTTCTACTGCACCAGGAGAAGATGAGCTAGTAACAGGGGTCTTTAAAGCTGCCTGGCATCAGATTTCACACCTGGTATAATCTCTCTTCAAGGGGTGCATAGAGACAGGGTTTCATCCTAAGATCTTCCGCACTGTTATTATCGCCATTATCCCAAAGCCGAATAAGAAGGATAAGTCGTCTCCTCGAGCATACCGACCAATCTCCCTACTCTCAGTCCTAGGAAAGGGGCTTGAAAGGCTTCTTGCAAAGAGAGTTTCCTGGATAGCTATTAAGCACGCTGTTCTAGGGCCAAACCAGTTCGGAGCCCTCCCTCTGAGAGCTGCCACAGACCTTACTACCTGTCTCACCTTTGACATAGAGAAGGCACTCGCAGACAAACAGGAGGCCTCCCTTCTTACACTTGATATCAAGGGTGCCTTTGACGCAGTACTTCCTGGCCGCCTTATTAAGAGGCTACGAGAGCAAGGATGGCCGCATAGCTTTGTAGCATGGGTTACTTCTTTCTTGACCGACAGATCTGTCAAAGTAAAGCTCGACGGGGAAATAGGAGTCTCTACTCCTCTTCAGTGCGGGCTGCCCCAGGGCTCTCCTATCTCGCCCATCCTTTTTATGCTCTACATCCAGCCACTCTTCTCCTTAGGGGTAGGCTCTTTCCCAGTGTTACAAAGGTTCGGCTACGCGGACGACATTGGATTACTTGCTTCTGGGCCTACAAAGGCAGGGAATGTTAAGGTCCTCGCAGAACAGGTGGCTAAGGCTTTAGAGTGGGGAACAGAGGAAGGCATTACCTTCGACGCGGAGAAGTCTGAACTTATCCACTTTTCTCGTAAGAGAAAGCAAAAAGGGAGAGGCATCTGCCTACCACCCTCTATTGTAGTGGGAAACAGGACAATAGAGCCAACTCAAGAGCTTCGATGGCTTGGTGTCTTCTTTGATCCCCGTCTTACTTTCTACAACCATGTTAAAAGGATGTCAAGTAAGGCTACGCTTGTAGCGATTGCCCTAAAAGGGACAACAAACACAGTAAGAGGCTCTCCCTCCCATCTGCTGAAACAGGCCACTACAGCTTGCATTCTATCAATCGCCTACTTTGGAAGCGAGACCTGGTTCCCTGGACGAGCCAGAGCCAAGGAAGGAGGGACTACAAACAACCGAATTGGCCGTCACCTGACTCTTTTAGACAGAGTAGTGGCTAAATGTGCGAGGATTATCCTCCCAGTATATAAGACTACCCCTACCTCGGTACTACTCATGGAATCTGGCCTCCTAGCCTCTGAAATTGCTCTTATAACAAGGAGCGAAGCACTAGAAGCTAGGATCCGACGGCTAGACCCTACCCACCCGCTTAAACGATGTGTAAATAACCCTAGCTCTAAAGCTAGGCTTATCTACCGCTCTTATAGAGCCCTGCCCCCCTCTGAAGAGATCGACCCTATACAAGACCCGCCGTGGGACAGAGGTTTCAACCGACAATCCCGGCTTCTAGAGGTAGCAGGACCTGAGCCCAGTGGAGACAAGAGCTCCTTTAAGGCCAAATTCCTTGAGTTTTTAGCTACACTCCCACCTACCGACTTAGTAGTATTTACCGACGGCTCTCGCTTGGACGATAAAAGCACTGGTGGGGGCGTGTGCCTCACAAGAGGGGGGGTTGTTCTTAATACAAAGAGCTTCTCTTTCGGCAAAGCGTTAGAAATATATGATGCAGAAGCTAGAGCTGCTCTCCATGGCCTAGAGCTTGCCCTAGAATCCTCTTTCTGGCCTTCGGCAAGGAAGTGCTGGATCTGCCTTGACAACCTTGAAGCCACACTACAGCTGACCTACCGGTCCTGTGGCACCTCACAAGAGACATTTAACAGGGTCTACGAATTAGCTCAATCGTACCCTGGGAAAATACAGACAAGGTGGTGTCCTAGCCACATAGGTATCCTTGGCAATGAGATTGCGGATAAAGCTGCAGGAAAAGCAGCGCGGATACTTCTTCCTGGTCCCCCCTCTCTACTCTGTACAGCCACGCTTAAGAGAGAGGTAAAGGAGCTAGGGGGCACGCTTGCGAAGAAGCTCTGGAGCACTACACTTCCAGGTCTTTACAAGGATCTAGGGCTCTACAACTGGTCCTTGAAACCCCGGTCTCTCCAGCTGCCTAGAGAGGTCCTAGCCCGCTTAATAGCTGCTCGTTCTGGCCATGGAGACTTCACCGCCTACCACCTTCGTTTCTTTCACTATGATACACTTCTCACCTCGGGGGAGTGTAGGTGCAGGAAGGCTAAGTCTCAATTCCACCTACTCTTTTGCAAGCTAGCAAACAACAAAGCACCTAAGCTATTAGCTAAGGCTAAGAGAAATCCTCAACTGCTCTTCGGATCCCACTGCGAAGAGCTCTTTAGCAAGGTTTACTTCAATACTGAATTCTACACTAAGATCTGCCTCTCTAGATAGACAGGCCTTCTTTTATTTCCTTTTTCTTTATATATCTCTTTTGTTTTACCCTGGTTCTTAAACTAATTAAGGATAAGAGCTGTTCCGAAAGTGGAGCTTCTCTTTAAACTGCCTCATGTAAATTAGCTCTTTCGTTTACACCCCCCTGTAGCCTAGGGCACCCCCCTAGCGTCATTTGCCCTATTTTGGGACTCTTCTAGGACCTAGCCCACGCGAGCTAGACTCCGCTTGACGTTAAATAGCAATAAATAAAAAAATAAATAAAGTACCCTCGCGTAGAATTATTTTTATATCTAAACGTAACCTATTCTAATACTTTAGTAATACTTGTGACGACACGTACGCAAAGCCCACGGTGTAGGTTGTGGAATCGTAGAACTGTCAATTAAACAAAGATTCTAAGCTGAGGAGAAGAGGAGAGCTCGAGAGAGCTTCGATCTAAATACTTGGTGTGGGTCGCTAAGCGAGACCACGTGATCCGAATGGTGGTGACGGTTAGAACCGTCACAATACTAAGCTATTAAATTAGACTTAAATAAAGTTTTCTAGTAAGTAGGTAAGAATATCGCGATTATAAAGGAGATCTATAATCTTTCTGGTTTAAATAGTTCGCGTAACTAGGTAGCCTACCAAGTAGATAGACTTGTAAAGAAACTTAGTACCCGTACCTAAGTAAATCCTAAATCGTTACTCGCAGAACAGAAATCTGAAAATACTATAGGGAGCTCATTAACTCTTCATCCCAATTACTATCTCATCTTAGATTTCTTATGTGCTGCCCATCCTCTCTCTCTCTCTCTCTCTAGTACCAGATACCAGCAGCTTTGAACACGACTATACTTGTAGTATAGCTTACCCTAGCTCACACCTGTGACTAGCGGAATAGAAATTCTATTAAAATATACGGCAAATGACAAAAATGCCACCTAATCAATATTTCTACGACAGAAATGCCACCTTTGTGCCATGTCACTGGTCTACTAGTAAATTCACTAGCAGAGTAATTTCTATATCATCAGTAGCATTTCTATCGCAAAAAGGTGGCATTTCCATCGTGAAAAAGGGGGGTATCTGTTGCTGAAAAGTGTCATTTTTGTCTCTTACCGTAAAATATATAAAAAGCTTGCGAACGTGTAATCTTACACTCTAATATCAGGCAAGGACAACTTTGAATTTCGATTTACGTTACCTATATTAGCCCACGCCTACAGGGACCTAGAGCCTCTTTAGTGACAATTCAAAATGTCTGGATACTGCAGTGTTCTTCGACTTGGTACATACATACAACGGACTAAAGAAGTACAAGAAAGCAATTACGGCCCCAAGACAAATCACAGATCTCGAAACCGAACTCTGTGGAGAAGACGACATACGAACCATCGCGTCAATATGCCGACCAGATAAGATTCGATTCCGGTCCCCCTATCGAGTCAAAAGTCTCACGAAAAAGAACCTTAGCAGCTAAAGAAAAAGCGCTGCAACAAATCGAAGAGTCTGAAGGGGAGGCGAGCAACATAACATTAGGTTACATGCGAACCCTCGCTAGAGAATATTCGGCAGTTTGTTAGCTAGGAAAGAGTAGGTCTATATAGGAAAGGGTAGTTAAAATACGTACACGATACTTAGGGAAAGATTATCCGGATACCCTTGCAGGGGATACAGAGTTAGAATATCTTAATAAAGTAAGGTTCTTAGGCTTCGGAAGGCCGTTTATTACTAGATCGCTAAGAGAATTAGTTAAAGGTTTAAATAATAAAGTAGATTAATTAAGAAATGTTCCTAGTCCCGCCTTTAAACCTAACCTCGAGCCTAAACCTGGGCTCCTACTTCCTATCCTCTTCTAATATAGTTTATCCATTAGTAATAAAATAAACGATTATAAATTAAACGGGGGTAAGAATTCCGGTAATTTATAGCTTTATTTTTAGCTATAAAGGATTTACTACTAAGGAGTAAGTAAATATTTACTAAATTTTATATTTATTCGTTACTTACTATATAAGGTTTATTATTAGTTTTATTTTATATTTACTAGCTAGCTTTAAGTAATTATACTTCGCTTTTATATAGAAAAGACCCTTCTAATTCTAGCTAGTATAATAATAGCTAGCTAATTAGAAGGCTTTATTTATTAGTAGAAAGTACAATATAAGTACTCTTAGTTATACTTCTCTTATAAAAGTAGTTATTAATAAAAAATAAGTATAACTTATACCCTCTAAAAGAAAGAATATAAAGTTCTTGTGACGGTTCTGACCGTCACGTGCCATTCATATCACGTGGCTTCCTTAGCGAGCCACATTGTATTTAGACTCAAGCTCTCTCGAGCTCTCCTCTTCTCCTCAGCTTAGAATCTTCGAATAGACAGTTCTACGATTCCATAACCTACACCTTGGAGGCTCCTTGGGCAACACATCGTACGTGTCGTCACAGTTCTAAATAAAAGCTAAGTACCTATAACTTTACCGATATATATAGAGAAACCCTTTAATTCTAGCTGGTATAATAATAGCTATCTAGTTTAATTAGAAGGCTTTATCTAGTAGAAAGCAAACTAAAAAGAACTAGGCTTATATATAAGTAAAGGGTATATATATAGGATAAATATAAAAGAGCTTAGTGTCACGAATCACGTTCTCACGTGATACTTGTCATAATAAAGAGGCGCAACCCTCGACAGGCACATCCAGGTTTCTTATAGCAAATAGGGATGCTTAGACTAGCTAAGCGATCCAAGGATTTCTCGTGTATGTAGTCACGTGATCAATCGCATCGCCTGTATCGACAGTCGATGTTAGCGATAGGAGGTCGACTACATCGACAGGTGATGTAGGCGATGTAGAGAGAACGAAGGTTCTATATAAGACTGGCACGTCTGCCATTAGATAGGAGCTTCGTGCTCAACTTAGTTATCAATCTTATCATATTAGTTTGACATCTTTGATACAAGTAACGAGTTCACTTCCAAGTGAACAACCCGATAGTCTTCTTCTTATGATAGCATACCAACCAGCGAACACCCAGCCAAGTTTAGTTAGCCAGTTTGAGTATTCGTTACACTTAGAATAATATAACTAACGTATAATATTTTAGTAGTATTAATAGAAGAACTAGGTATAATAATAGAATATATTATAATCCCTCGAGTACTAGTATAATTCCTTATTTACTATAAATCCCCGCTATATAATAGATTTATTTCTATTTATATATAAACTACTTCTCTTTTTAAAAAATATAATCTAACTATTATAGTAGTTTAGTTAAAACGTAGTTAGTAAGAGAGTATTACGAAATTCCGATTTAAGTACTACGACAAGTATAGAGCCACGCGTATATAATCGAGAATGTTAAGATATATACACATATGAACTTTATATTAATAGGTATATTAAACAGAAAACCTTCTATCCTAACACGCCGAGCTTTAGTTTGAAGAAAATATATTGGGTATCGTACTAAGCTGTAGTTTCACCGCCGGTGGGTTTTGGTACTGTGTATGCCTTAAGAAAGTCCGGGTCATTTGCCAATTCTTCCTTGACCTATAGAAAAACAACCGTTAGTTTGAAAGGATGATCCATTTTGCTAACTTGAAAACTTACAATATCCAAGCCACCAACTAGTTCACCATCAACATAAAATTGAGGAAAGGTTGGCCAATCGGAAAACTCCTTCAGACCTTGTCTCACATCATCATCCGCTAGTATGTTGAAGAAACCATACTTGACCGAGTTTTCTCGTAAGAGAGCGACGAGTTGTCTATGAGAATGTCAAAACTTGAAATCTCGTAACTTGTCTCGTGGAGGTGGGGAAGCACCCGAGGAACTTTACCTTGAAAATCCACATTGTGGCGCGCTTGGGGTACCCTTCATGAACAACATCACAGGAGCGGCCTTAACCAAAGTTGCCAATCTCTTATTTAGAGTCTCCTTATCCTCCTTGATTTCTTCTGTCGCAAATACCGGGGCTGTAGCTGAGTTCGCCGGAGCAGATGCATATGAGCTGGGACTCTTGGCGGCATTGGCACCTGTTGGTACGGAGCTGCTGCCATTGATCTTTGGTGCAGATCCAGTAGATCTTGCATGTTTCTCGATGGCTGCTCGTACTTTTGTTGCGTCGCTTCCACTGACAGTCTCCAACACTTCATTGTTGCGGGTGAGGACGAGGTATGGAACAGCAGTAACATCAAAGGAGTCGCTAACATCCATAACCTCTTCGGCATTCATCGAGACCCATGATGTTGACAATGGGGTTGTGACAGGATATGAAGTTGCCAGTGTTTCGAGGACCACTCGCATTTGCGCACAAGGAGCAGCCCATGGCGCATGGAAGGATATGATTTGGAGGGTGGTGGGCGGAAGGGAAGCTGTGTGTTTGTGCCAGTCCTCCTCGGTCTTGATCTCGATCAAAGTGCTGCCGTTCAACGACATGGCGACGAGGATTTATTGATTCGATTGATGGTAGATGGGGAGCGCGTTGTTTTATTTTGGAAGAGCTTCGAAGGTGTGATTATGAAGCACAAGTATGCCGCACTCGGCGATGTTGAGTTGATTACTTATCGTCCTGTCTGATCGGAGGGGGATGGCGGGGTAGAATTTCGCTGTGGAAGTAGAGGAAAGGTGTGTGCTGGGAGTGTAGAGGGGTTAGTTGTGAGATGAAAAGATTTCGATGATGGCCGTCAAGTTGAGGAGGTTAGGGAATTCGAGGAGTGGATGGAATGGGGCCTTTGGTGAAGTTGGAGATGTTTTCCTCGACCTCCGGAACAACAAAAATTGAGGCGATTGCCAATGCTTTCTCCAATCGCGTCATTGGGTGAAAGGGAATTCACGTGACCTGTCACCACCATTCCTCGCGATTTGATTGGAGAAGACGAGTTTTCAGGTATTGATGGGAAAACAGATTTTAGGTACTTGTCTTGTACGATTAGATCATATATTGATACTTACTGTGAGAAATATTTGGGTGGTAAAAGGGATGAGTTATACTTAGCGAGCGAAAAGGAAGTGTTCAGACGGCCGCTTGTAAATCACCAAAGTAAGTCTATACAAACAATATTTTCAACATCACTCCGATACTGAAAGAACTCGAATAAATGATCATTAGCGATCTGGATAGAATTCATCCTCTTGATCTTCATACACGGTTGATGCTAGTCTATAGCCTCTATTTACTGGTTACAATTTCATTAAGAGCGGAGAGCTTTACCTACCATGTTGTCTCATTAAGCCTGAGTTCCTGTTGAGCTTCTGTAATTACACAGCAGTCTCATAGCAGAATATGCAGGATTAAAGAATACAAATCATAATTGAGGAGTCTTTCTAAATGTTTGCACGGTTCAAGTAAACAAAAACGGCTTACTCCGGTGCTAGGACTCCTGGATTCCTCAAAATGATCCCAAAAATAAAAGGTAAAACTCAAATAATTAATAACAGACTAGCTAATAGGCCAGAAAAACATCAGATACATTTAATGCCTCTCCCAAAATCTTGTCAAAATAAGTAGTAGGGCGTCCCAACAACAACCCAAATTCCTTCCCCTTACAAGAAGTCGTTCATCCAAAACATCCACCTCGGCAAACAACCCAGTCATTCCAGTGCGAAAAGCTCCGATTCAGCTGCACAAGGATCCTCGTCCACAGGCGAACAATCGGAATTAATTGATAACAAAATGAGATGAGGTGAGGTCCCTCGGGTCTTATTTCCACATGGCTTCTAGACCATGGGCGTAGCTAAGCTTTTTCTCCAGTCCCGGCAAATCGTACAGTCAAGCCTTTCTGTCATGGGGCGGGTGTGACGCGAATGAAACCACCCCGGTTAACCAGCACCTCCGGTGCCAGCCACATGGATCTTCATAAATCTTCAGCGATCCTGGACCCACTAATGAATATATGGCAACTATTCAATGAGTACTTGGGATTTTTGAGGGGCAAGAGGAAATTATTAAATGGTGGTAGCGACATATACACTAAAAATACTTAGATGTCAGCTTCACCTCAAGCAGACGCCACACTTCCCTACCCCCTGAGAACCCACAGATGAGCGCGACGAGACTGTGGCGGAGGTCAGATCACCCCCCGCTGATCCACGGTAAGGTAGACCAGGTTCCTCACCTACAAAAGCTGGAAACCCCCCGGGCCGCTCCATCTTGGCATTGTAACTTATTTCATACTCCATACGAGGTACTTGGCCAGTATCAATTCACCACCCAAGGTATCTCATACCATCTCCCACAAACAATCTGAGCATCGCTTCATCTTCAATCCGACCTGAGACCCTTCAATTGTACGTATGCAACTGACCTGCGCAACAGCGCCAATCGGTTTCCCAATCACAGACTCAAGATCGGAGCGCATGCTGATTAGCTACATGTAGCCCATACATTCACAACCCATCACTTCCTTCAATATGTCTGCGCAAGGTTACTACGGTGGACAACAACAAGCTCAAGGCTATGGCCCACCACCAGGTCCTCCTCAAGCGGTATTTCATCCCTTCTCAATGGCTTTCCATCTGTAAACTCCTTGAGGTTTCTTGGACTCCGCAACTAACCAATTCAGGCATACGGACAACCGCAATACCAGCAAGGCTACCCACCACCACAAAGCTACCCACAACAAGGTTATGCGCCTCAACAGCCACAAGTAATATCCCCATAAATACAAGATTCAGTTTTGAAGGAAGATATTGATGATTGACTATTTAACAGATGAACTACGCGCAAGCACCAGCACCAAGAAAAAGTGGTGGTGGTGGATGTCTCCAAGGTTGTTTGGCAGCTTTGTGCTGTTGCTTCGTTTGTGAGGAGGGTTGCGAATGTTGTGCCGATTGCATTGGTACGTCCCATCCTGTCCTATTCTATTTTCCCAATCCCTTTCCTCCCCATCCACTTCATCTCCCCCCACTAACCCCCTCTCAGAATGCTGCGAGATGTGTTAGATCGCCCTCTCACACACCCATTCAATCCCCTCGCACCCCCACCTTCTCAAAACTGGTAAAACCAGCAACTACAAATGGATGGATAGGATGGAAGAGCCGTTATTTTCAAGTGGACGGAGCATGGATGGAGAAAGGTACATACAGACACAGGATGGGATGGTAGTCAGTCAGTCAGTTAGCAAGCATGGAATTGATGATACGATAAGGTTTCTTTGCAGAGAGAATGTTCATAGCAAGGTTTATTTTTTTCTTCTTTTTGCTTTACGATGATTGATAGTTTTCTCTTTTCAATCTTTTCAATCTTTTCTTGTTTTCTCTTTCTTCTTTTTACTTGAATAAGCTTAAGAGAGGTAGATACGAATGCCTTTTCACAAGTACATATAGATTCTAATACAATGTATTCCAACAAAAATAACTACTAGTCTCCTATACATTTCCCAGAAAATCATTTCAAACAGCGATACTATATTAAACCCTCTTAACCCCCAGAGCCCCCCAACCCCACCTCACCCATTTTCTACCCTTCACCCCTCCAACACCAAAGCAAAAATAAAAAACAAAAAGAAAGAAAGAAAAATCTCTCCTTCAAAATTACCTCCCCTAGATCTCCAACTAATCATTCTCTCTTAGTATCTTAACTCTACAATTAGAGTCCTATCCTATAGCCTATCTCCAATTCACCTCACCTCTATACACACTAAAGACTATCTCCTGAATCAAATCAAGTACTCATACTTGCTATAAATAACAAACAGATTGACCCCATCCCTAATTCACCAAACCCCTCCCCCTTCTTTGTTGAGTTTCTTAATAGGGTGGGTTAGATACTACTACTACTACGCTTCATTCTTGTCCTCATTCAAGCCTCTTCCCCCTTTTCCTCTTCACCCCCTCCCCAAAAAAGGACGACGAAATACAAGAAGCATAAGGAAATCAAATCAACATCTATGGAAAAGACAAGAGGATGGTTCTATTCACTTGCATTTGCACGCTTGCACGCTTGCTTACTACACTTTTCTTTTCTTTTCTTTTCTTTTGTTTTTTTCCATCCATCCTATCCCCTCTTCGTCCCTGAGCCTAAGTACATCATCATCTCTCCCACACCTGCTCTCACGCCAATTTGCATTTTCATTTTGACCACGAGATCCTGAATCTCAACCTCAACCTCTCCCTCTCCCTCTCCCTCTCCCAACTCCCTTAACAACCCCCAAGACACGTACCATCCCATTTATTCATCAAGCTGTACATAGTTGGCGGGAAAGAGTCCCGATTTACCCTTATAATGTCCAAACCACCAGTCCTCATCAGGGAACTCCTGGAACAAAAATTAGCATCGTCTACAAACCCAAATCCATCCAAATCCCCCAATGTCCCAAAGGAAAAGGTCACAGATGGGAGAAGAAAGGGGAGAAAACAAGGAAAAAAAACCTACAAGGCCAGTGATAGTAGCGTTTTCCTCAAAACTCAACTCGTTATCCTCTGCAGCCTCATAATCATAAAGCGCCGTAGCAGTAGGAGCCGCCGGTTCGGCAGCAGGAGCCGGTGCAGGCGGAGGCGCAGGACGAGAAGCCGGCGCTGGTGCGGAAGGTGCTTCCTCTTCCTCCTCAATAAGTTCGACATAATTGCTAGGGAACAGTCCACTCTCGCCTTTTTGATTGGTGCCCATCCACCAATCCTCATCCACCATCTCGATATTACTTACGATCTCGCCTTCTACGAGTTCCAACTCGTTGTCCTCGGCCTTTTCGTAGTCGTATTGAATGAGGGCTCGCTTTCCACCGCCGCCTGAGCTTTCGTTGGCAGCGTCATCATGAGCACCAAACGAAGCCGCTGCTACTGCTGCTCCTGCGCCGAACGAGGCTGCTGCTACTGCGACTCCTGCACCACGAGCTGGATCGTGTCCGGCTGGTTCTTCGGTTAGATCATCCTCGTGAGGTATATTCCTTCCAATAGCTGCTGTGGGAAGAGCTGGAGGAGGGTTTCGTTCCTCAGGAGCTTCCATTTCGTGATCTCTACCCCGGGCAACTGGCATCGCGATTCGGACAGGAGAACTTTCGCGTTCCGGGGTTGGTGGGGTCGGGCTACGTTGGACGCGTGGAAGTGGTGCCGGCATGTTAGTTTCACCTTGTTCTTCCTCATCCTGACGAGGTCGTGTTGGAAGACCTGGCATAGGTACGCCGCCCGTAGGTCGGTTCGAGGTGTTGACAGGTGGTGGAGGAGGAGATTGGTCACCAGTGACTGTTCTTGGAATACTTGGTGCTCCCATTGGTGCGGATCCTCCCTTGAATCGGTCTCTAATGGCACTAATACCACCAGCTGGCGATGACGGGACTTCCTGCTCGTGCTCATCTTCTCCTGTTCTTTGATGTCCAATACTGCCGGCGCCAGAGCGGCCAGTTGCATTGGTAGCAACTGGCGCCCAAGACTTTCCAGAATAACCACTTTTCCATTCGCCTCCTCCACTTGCTTGGCTTCTGATCGGAGATGTAATAGGTGGAGGAAGAGTACTACCAGCTCCACTGAGACCTCTTTCCCGAGCCTTTTTCTCGGCCCAGATTTGTGCTGGAGTCTTTCCACCCTCATCTGCGAATGTTCTGCTTGCTGCGCCAACTGGAGCTGGAGTTGCTGTTGCAGGAGCAGATTGCAGTCCAAAGACCCCAGGAGTTGGCGCCTTAGTACCACTAAAATTACTTGCGGAAGATCCAAATTTGTTGGCTACTTTTGGTTTTGGCATCGATGTGATTCGTTCTGACTGTGTAAAAGCCGAGGACCTATCCGCAAGAGATTTTGGTTGTTCACTGGCATCGCCCGTTGCAGCAGGTGAAATGTGACGAGCTCCGTCATCTCCAGGCTTCTGAGCTCGGGCTCGAATAGCTGCAATATCGACCTTTCCGACTGGTTCGTATGCACCTTTGACAATTGTTGGTCTGTCGTCATCTTTCTTCTGGGCTTGAGCACGGATGGCGGCGATGTCTACCTTCCCAATTGGTTTATAGCCACCTCTAACCACATCGCCACCTTCCTCTTTTTGCCGGCCGTTAAATCTCGAAGGTTCCTGCTTCTGTTGCGTTAACTCCGCCATATTCACTTTCGTTGGTTTGTATGCTGGTGCAACTTTCTCAAGCTGTGATCGAGTAACTTCAGGCGCATCTGCTCCCCATCCATCAGCATCTACATTGGTATCATTGTAACCAGGCCTTGACCGAGAGCTTGCCAAGGGGTTGAAACTTGCTCCTGCACCTGATCGTGTTGGGTTGAATGCTGGTTTAGGTTTGGAAGCTATGGGAGGAGGAGGTCCGGAGGACGAGGGAGCGGAACTGGCTACTGAATATTTTGCTCCAGAAGCATCTGCAACCTTTTGCACTATGCCTTCTGGGGTGAGATCGCGGTCGGAACGAGCGGTAATTTGTACGTGGTATCCCTAAAGAAAGCGTAAGAACCATGTTCTTTTAGCCAGGCGATGGGATCAACATACATGTAGGATTTTGGAAACAGCCGCAAGGTGACTGGTGAAATAGCCCTTCGTTCTCTCTGGGACACCCTCTCCGCACTGGAATTCCGTAAGCTCTTCGACCCCCGCACTTTGCTCCTCCTAAGAAGTACATACCCAGGCGATTAAGACGTATTTGGGTAGAGTCGTATTTGGATCCTTGACCTTGACAAAGGCAAACTGAACGCGGCCTTCGGAAAAGTCCTCGATCAGATCTAATAGCTCACCCTCTGTTGGTGTTTTGGTCAGCTGGGTATTCTCACCATCCACGCCAGCAACCGCTGGAACCTACCTCCAGTACTCTGTACTTTGAGCACACTTTCCTTTCCACCGCTGTCTTGCTGGAAAGCGTTTACGAGAGGTGCTGACACGGAAAAAACTGCCCACTGGCCATAGGTTGGAGAATTCGCGGCTGGACCGGAGGGCTGCGCGGAGTTGACTACCCCATTGTATGAGGATTTGATCGAAGGACCATTGGAGGAGGTATTCAAGGAGGCCATCCCGAGGCACAAGGCGAGGAAAGAGCAGTAGATAGCCTAAGAAATAAAGAGGGAGCTTGGGCTTGTCCGTCTTAGTGCAGGGCGAGCGAGGGGAGTAGAGGCTGAGGATGTTCAAAATGTTTACTCCGTAGATGGTGACCTGAGCCTGAGATCTCAGAGAGGCCTCGAGGCTGAATCGTCATACCGCCCCACTATTCATCTATAATTGGACTAGCGGCTTTGCATTTTATCCTCCAAGGCGCCCAAATGATTGGACAGGAAGTGCTGCTATGGAAGCCTTACTTTTCAGTGCTTGCAGCTCACAGTTACCTATCAGACGGGTTGGCCTTCATTCAGATGGGACTGACAGAAAGACATAAACTCTCGCCTCACTCCCTCCTCTAATCGTACCTATCTATACAGGACCCTTCTCCAGCCCTACACCTCTCACCTGTCACCTCACCTCTCTTCTCTCACCCCTTCTCCTCTCCCTCTCCAGACTTACTGTCACAGTCTTCTCTTCTGTACTGACTGCACCTCCACCCTCACTATCAGGTACTGCACTGTGTGTGCTATCCACTCGTTGCACTCGTTGCGCTGAACTTGGATTGCGCCTGCGTCGTCTTCAGCATCTCACATCTCAGCATCAGCCGCCGAGCGAGCGAGCGAGCTTGCGCCCATGCCATGACATGACGCAGAAGACGTCTTGTTCCCTTTCTTCACCTCCACCTATTCGCACTCTTCAAGAATCCAACCCTCGATAAGGAGTTTGTTGTATTGTGGTCATCGCTCACAATACACTTGGAGTCTGTTGCCCTCCTTCCCCCCTCTTCCTGTGTTTTTCTTATATTGAGGGGTCAAGAAGAACTCAAGCTGTGCAGTGCCTTGGTCAGGCGCACCCACACCCACATACCATAACCATATCCACTAGCCCCTTGGTATGAGCTGCAATCACGATGGATACGCCGAGCAGCGATTTGACCTCGGGCAGCACAGAATCGCTATCACCCACTTCAGCAGACCCGACCCCCGCCGACTCTCCTACGAAGACCACCCTCGATAACCTCGAATCCCTACTTGCCACGAACATGTCCTCGTCAGCTGTCACTGAGAACAACGACGAATCGGATTCTGATGTGTCCATGTCTGCAGATAGTGACGAAGAAAACGACACAGGCCATGATACACCAGATAGCCAGGTTCTTTCCTCTCTGCGAGGTCTGCCACAATCCGACACACCACACAATCATGCTGTGGAAGCATCCAAAAAACGAAAACACGCTGGTTCTTTGGAGGCCCCAAATGGCCAGCTAGACCAGCAAATAAGCAACGAGTCCAGAAAACGTGTGAAGTCAATTGAATCCTTACCATCGTATCGGACTCCTCAGGGAGGTCTTCAGCCAGACAAGTCTCTTTTACCAGCTGAGATATGGCACCACATCTTTTCTTTTTGTCTTCCAAGAGTCTTGGGTCTTTCTTTGCAAGTCAACAAATGTTTTAATACCTATCTTGATCCTTCCGTACCAAAATCTCCCGTTGCTTCTCTTTCAAGTTCATCATTGCCCCTTCTACAAGCTGGTGCCATATGGCGAGCCTCCAGAATTCTGTTTCATCAAAATATGCCTGGTCCTTTGTCTGGGAAATCAGAGCTAGATATGTGGAGAATGGCATGTAGTTCTCGATGCCAATTTTGCAACAAGAAAGAGATCTCCTCCTCCAATACAGTGGACCAATGGCATCCAGGCCCTGGCATGACTGGCCTTGCACGAGTATGGTCTTTTGGTATCCGTGCTTGTGGGTCTTGTATACAACAAAACACAACCAAGGTAGGTGATTGGTTCCGTATACTTTATACAATATATACCTTGCACCAGGACCGCAAACTGATTCTGGCCACAGGAAATTGATTTGCTTCTGTTCTCTGCTATTGCATCTCCACTATTGGTTGCATTGCCATTCATATTTCTCACCAATGAGCTTCACATCATACCTCCTACCACATTACAGAGTGGCCAACAGCCATCTTCTATTCAAATTTCCAAGCGATTCCCTAATTTCCAAATTGAGGAGATCAAACGGGAATTCCAAGAGGCAAAAGTTTTGGGAGCAGCCACTACGGAGGAATGGCTCAAAGGACTAGAAGAGCGTGGGAGAGAGATGAGAACTGACGCTGCTCGATGGGAGCGATGGGAGTTTTCTGGAGGAGTTGCCAACATGCGTCCTGTGGCGAGTCATGAGGTTAAAAAGGAGCCAGCTGTGAACGTTGAGGAGAGATCAACCTCAATTGGCGTCAGTCCATTATATCGATTTCAACCTTCTAATCCACTCCCCCAAAGAAACTTTCCACCATTCACGAATTCTCGGTCCTCCCAAAATCCCTACCCTCCTCAACGTACGTCTGGATTCATGCCTTATGAGCTCTAAATTATTGCAGTCCTAACAAATACACACTCTAGCTTCTAGTGCTCCACCCTATTTTGATACCCCTTTCCGGAATGGGTATACCCCATATCCGCCACCCCCACGAGCACAACCCCAGGTCAGACATGAGAGAACCAAGGACGAGGTTGCCTCATTAAAGGCTGCGCGACGAGCGGAAATAGAGAGGCGGTCCATGTTGCTGTCACCACCACTAACTGCTGCGGTTTTAGCACATATGCCTTCGTTCCAAGCCGCCATACAAATTATCCAGCCACTGACCGATGAATCCTGGGAAGTATTAAAACCAAGATTGCTTTCACAGCGTGGGGAAGCTGAACAGCGGGAAACCGATCGCCTTGCTCAGACCCGAGTGGTTCAGGAGCGATTTGATGAGCGACGATACCAGGATGCACAGGCCAGATCAAACTCCAAGGACATTGTTGATAGGGAGTGGGATGATGTTCAAGCTCCTTTGCGCTCAAGGATTGGTGGGTATGCAGATGAGATTATCCGTGATGGTTGGAATGGTGGTGACAAAGTGGATTACGACAATGCTCCCAGGTTTGCTGCAGATGTCCTGGTATATGTCCGGAAGAGGTTTTACGCAGAAATGGCCAAAGATGAAGCAACCGCTCGCGCAACTGGACAGGAGCCTACCTTGGATCCTCCCAATGGACCCTACCTGCGGAAACTTATTTTGGAGAACATGAAATGGGTGTTTGATACCAAGATCAAAGTCCATACTGAGCAATATCGTAAGGAACTTTTTCTTTGCAGTGCTTGCGAGACTAATCCAAAGTTTTATGGATTCGAGGGTGTCATCCAGCATTACGCAGCCAAGCACACCAATGAATTGAGTTTTGGGAGTATCGTGGTTCACTGGAAAGCGGAGTGGCCTGAGCGACCCCCTTTCAATTCAGATCCTGCTCCATCGTCTAACCAAGCTTATTACTCCGTCCCAAGTGCCAGTGCACCTTTTGTAAGCAATGGTCCCGCGTTGCATACCAACTATGGATATGGTGGGTATCAGCCAACTTCTGGGCCTTCTATATCCGCTCCCATGGCGGGTTCTATGCAGGCTCTTATGCCCCCTCAAATGCAGGCACCAATGCCTCCTCCACTTCATGGCCAAAATCCACACGTTTACCAGGAAAGCCCAGGTCCTTACTATGGTCATCCCCACTATGAAAATCAGTATTCAGGGCATCAAAACGGACCTTATGCTCCTCCACAACCATATCAGGATAATCCCCAGGTGTACCATGGACAACAGCAGTATTCCGCTCCACCACCAGCTAACAATGTCTATCAAGAACCACCACATGATTATTCCCAACACCACCGGTTTGGAAATTCTTACCAACCATCTAACCAGGGAATGTACCCACCTGCGAATCAAGGACCACAATATCAAACTGCCCCTGATATGTCTGTTCAGCAAGATTCCTACTCCTACCAAGGGAATCATTTTGGCCAAAATTACACCCAGGTACCATCTTATTCAACCAACACTGTGGCACCACCACCTGCTCCACCCCAAAGGACAGAGGATTACAAGACCCAATTGCTAGAGGTAGCAAAAAGCGCGCGTAAGGTTTGGAACACAATCAATTCCATTAAGGAAATTGCTGGAAGCGTCAAGGTCCACACCATCATCTACCACCTTTTGTCACAATTTCGCACATTGTACCAGGAAGACCCTCCCTTATCAATGATCATAGATGGTTTGACAAACAACAAAGATATGCGACCGCTGAGAAACATCAATGGTCTTCTTTGTAAAACATGTGTTGCGGAGCTGACAGGATCTAAAGGAAATCAGAAGAAACATTTTTCAATCTCACAACTTCTGAGCCATTTTCACACTATCCATGAGCAGGGAGTGTCCAAGAACACTGGACGCAGTCTGGACTGGACAAAGGACATGGTTGAGCTTCCAGATATCTCGAAATTGGCATCCGCCATCAACAATGGCAATCATAAGCTTGACCCAAGGATCAAACTTGTCAAAGAAGCTATTCCAGAGCTGGACCCGCCAACTGCTACAATAGAAGAGCGATTTTCAAACGGCAGAAAGTACGATCATGTTGCTACCAATTCATACAGTCCAGAACTTGCTCCTTCTCGGGACAGCCACAACAAATACTACTCATCTGCCTCCAAGGGTGAATCATCAAAACCTGACATTGTTGCGTACGATAATGGAGAGTATGACCCCCGAAATCCGATGGAAATCCCGCTGGAGCCGAGAACTGTTCTCCGAGTTGCACCCCAGGCAAAGTACCCCCTGGAGGACGAGCGTGAAATTTTACAACCAGTCTATCGACTAGCACCCCATCCTGAGGACCGTCGCGAAATCGTGTATCATGATCGCCCGGGACACGTATATGACGACCGAAGGCCGGTATCACCTCTATCAAGGGCACGGCCATCAGAATACTACGAGCGCGTTGTAATCCGAGAAGAACCGCCCTTTTATAATGATCGACGGCCACGCTATCGAGAAAGTGTCGAACGCAGCGAGTATCGCAGTCCTGCACCATTGCCCTACCATGCGTGGGGTGCCCAATCTCCTAGCCAAGGCTACCAGTTCCGAAATCTGGAATCTTTCTCTGGCAATAGGCAGGAAATTCAACCTGTGGCAACTGCCTCGGAGCAAAGTCGCATCACCGATGTTGTGGTACAAATATCGCAACAGGCCCAGCGAGCACAGGATTCAATTCCTCTTCGTGACGAAGTTGCCAAAGGTGGTTCGGAAGATGGGGAAGTGCGGGCAAAAACTGCCTCCAAATCCGCGTCCTATCAACCTGAGCCACCAGAAGACCCCACTGATGCTGCTGAAAGATTCTTGGACAATTTTCTTTCCGTTGAAGCTCCTCGAGAGGAAGCCCTTTCAAGAACACCACGAGCAGACAAGAGGAAGGTGTGGGAGCCTGAGAGTGGCGAACCTCTGCGACGTGCATATCAGCCTCAAGAGGATCCTTACAGGGGGATACGTGGAATAAGTAGAGTGTCTTCGCGAGGTCGTCCCGGCGACGAGGGTACACTAGAGACAAGATCTGTAGTACGCGATCGACTTCCCCCGGAACAATCCCGAGCCTATGGCTACGATGATCGCTATGGTAGCTCTCTCCCGGTGCATTTAACTGTACGAGAACGTTCCCCTGAGCTAGTCGATCGGCGATACAAGGTCAATAATGTTGTCTATCGGGATGAGAGACAAAGCAGAACTCCGAACAGATATGCTCGGTATGAGAGTGTTCGCCTGGAGAATGACCGCGCACGTTCCAGGTCACCAGTGTACGCCAAAGTAGGTGGCCAAGCTGGGCAGTATCGTGAGCGCAGTCCTGGTAGACATCTACTACAAGAAACGTTTTATCGAGCCCGTACTCCCCAGATGCTGGTAGATGGGTATGCTCACGAGAGACAACCCCGACCGGGCTATTATCGCGTGTATGCCGATGAACCCCGGCCGGGGCCACAGTATGCTACAGAGGCATATGAGCTTGTTCGCGTCTCTGATGCGCAGGGAGAATACGTTATTCGGAGACCTATTCGACGGGAACCTGCTGAGCCAGTTTATGCCAGCTACGGAGACGATGGCTATGCACGACAGTCTGTTTATGAAAGCCGAGCGCCTGTCTTGAGACCACACGAGGCTTCTTTTGAAGAGGAGTATGATCCTAGGCATCCTGAGCCGCTCGCGCCGGTTCGACAGGTCGGCAGGTATCAGTAAAAATATGGGAGGGGTTTTCTGCTTTTCAAAAGTTATTTCTCTTTTTTCTTCTTTTCCTATTCTACGAGGAAAATAATGCTGTTCTTATTTCCCCTCGTCCTTTGGAAGTTTGAATAGAACTCTGTTTCTAATCTCTTTCCTTTCTCTATTTATTTTGGCATACAATTGGATGCATACCTCGGGCGCATCTCTGCTTCTTCCTCTTCCTCTCCTTTTTCCATGTTTGTTGCTGGGGAAATTTGTACGATTGTACGATAACACGTTTTCCTGTATACTTGGTTATTGGCTGGCGTCCTGTTTTGCTTATTTGCCTGTCTGATTCGTATGAGGTGGCGAAATCATAATCCGGATTTAACGTCAAAATGGGTGGCATTATTTGATTGACTAATTGGTCGCTCTTGTTTCTAAAAGAGCTGGGGTTGGTAGATAGGCTAGATGGTTGAGGTGCTAAACTGTGCGTGCTTGGGGGGCTCTGGTGTGCAAGTCTTAATGTGTGATGGCTGATGCGAGGTGGGATTTGTATCATACGCGTAGGTAGTACGATTCGTTCCTGTAGGAACTAAATGGCGGTGTTGAATGGTATCGGTTGAGTAAGCGTATTCTTCTTGTGGTGATGATCTTTGTTTAAGTTGGAGGGGCTTTGGTACTTACGTAAAAGTTACTTGCTACTTATAAGTGCTCTGATCGTTACTCTGTCAACGCTCGGCAAAAGGAACCATATTCTGTGGAATTCTAGGTGGAATATTCTATATAGAATACTTCCAGAGCACCTATAAAATAGAATAGAATACTTCTATCGATTAGTCTCTAGAATTCCAGGAGTTCCATAGAATTCCAGAGGCTTTTCTGACTAATCAAAACGTAGTATTTTAGAGTGGTTTTTACCTAAGTGAATAGTATAGATATATCTATTATTAGATTCAAGTGAATAGAGACTACTTATATTAAGACTCTTTGTAGTATAATATACGTAGTCTAGGTTAGGTAATAAGGGGGATATTCACGTAACGTTTCGATAGGACCTTATACTATAATATAGAGTCTAAAGCTAAATGGAAGCTTCCTATTAGTCTACTGGAGCGGAATGATAATTTTCCGGGTTATATAACAGATTCTAGCCGGAAGTTTTATAAATTCTATAGAATATATACCTCTAGAATAGAATAATTCTAGCTAAATCCTAAAAGGAATGGAATTATTCCACAGGGGGGGTCTGGAATAGGAAGGAATTCCAGACGCCGAGCGTTGTACTCTGTATACACTATCTCCTAGATGGACTAGCACATATCAAAATTAGGTCAAGGACATGCTACCCTAGTTTGAAAAATGTAAGATCTTAGGTACGTAGCGGTTTACTAACATTTACGAACTTTACACATGAAGAATATTAGTCAAAGTTTGTAGTATGATAGAAGAAGTTGGTACCTTTAGTTTGGATTTCTTGACGGCGCGAAAGAGGCGTTAGGAGTTTTTAAGTCTTCTTTTTTGGGGGGGGG